CCCCCCCCTGTACACTGCATCCTCCGGTACATTCCAAGAGAGAAATCCCCATCAGAAAGGGAAACCTCTGAGTTGGGGACTGAGGGAACCTCCCCACTCTTCCCCCACATCAGAAAGCTTTAGTATAGCCAGCCAATGTCCCACCCATCTCGACTGCCTTCCCCACAGGGCCCTCCACAGCTGCCCAGATCACCGGGGAAGGATTATTCTTAAACTAGCAAATGTGCAGGCTCATTTCGTTGGATTTCTTCTCAAGTCAGCTTGCAATGTACTCTTTAAAGACTACGAAAAACACTCGGTATAAGTTGCTTCTTAAGACTGTCCCTACAATAGAAGTTCTCTCTTCTGCTTCAGAGAGAGGAAAATCCGTGAGTGCCTCGGGATCCCTTGTTCAAAAGTCATCATAGAAGCTTCAATTAAAAAAAGAAAGAAAGAAAAGTCCAACAAGTGTTTAAAAATCCGCTTTAATTATATTTTCATGAATTCCAAGAAGAGCGTCACTGCAGTCCAAGTTACAAAAGAGCAAAGAGGGACCTCTGAACACGCAGTAAAAATGGATTCACAGTGGAAACCATGCAGGTTGGTACTAAAATATAGTTGGCTAGGCTCCCTGGAGGGAAAACGTGTCTTCTAATTATCGATTCAGTTGGATTTTATGATGATAATGTTTTAAAATTTTTTTCTTGAAAGCTTTGGGGAAGTTCCAATTTGTGCTACTATTTATTATTGTTAGAGTCTGCCAAAAGTCGTTCGTTCCGTACAGCCCTTATTTTCAGTCTATAATTTAATCAGAAAGCTCCAAAGTACAACAAATATCTTGGCAATTGTGTTCTTGTTACATACAAAGCCATTAGCAAAAATATGTAACAAAATTCATGTAAAACAAATAGTTTTGTCTTTATATACAGAAGTTTTCTCTTCTTTATATCTACTCTAAAAGAGAGGGGGATAAGTCAGCTACCAACTCCCCCTTGATTTCTCTCATCCTGGGGAGGGGTAACGAAATCAGAAAGGGCAAAACAACCCTTGTCCGTGTCTTTCAACAGAGTCATAAAAAATGCGCGTGGGCTTCTAAACAAAGGAGGAAAATGGCCATGGCTTTAAATAAAGAATTCATCCCATTGGGAAGAGATGTAAGAGCCCCCAATAATAGTACTTAATTAAAAACACCCCAAAAATGCATCCCTTTGTCCTTTTGCAGTGTCCTAATCAACTCAACAGAGAGTTTAAAATGACTACATTTGTGACTATGTTCTAAGGACATACGTATAGGAGAAAACATCTTGGCAAAACGTGTGCATTAGGACCCAAGCTGAGGGAACGTTTCACATCTAGAGCATGCACGTCTCCCATCCCAATACAGCTTACAAGACCTCGGGAGGGAAGTTCATAGGCACGTGGCAAATGTCACAGAATCTACGTACAAACGCACACCCAGGAAGCACACGCGCAGGCAAAGAGAAACCAAAAGACGAGTTTAAAAATACATTTCTAGATCATCTCAAAGCCAGGGGTCACGGTTACTGGAGGGGCCAAACTGGCATTCTACAGACTACTTTGTAAACACTGAAGATGCAGCTTTACGTCGTCGTTCACAGTCTCAAGAGGAAATAAATTTCTGGCTTGTCGTCCCCGCTGGCCTCAGTCGGCCAGACGGAGCCATCTGCACACAGCTGGTCCAAGTGGCCCTGGCTACGGGCTGCGCACGCCCCCTCGGGGACGCCGCGGCCTGGCAGGCTTTTGCGCGGACTCAGGTAGCCCGCGATGTACGAGCCGGTGGAGTGGCGGTTGGCGGCGGGCGGGGGCGCCGAGGAGGGCTTGTTTCGGAGCAGCACTCCCCCCACGGGGCTGAGGTTCCCGACTTTATGCTTGTTGGCTTCCTGTTTCTCCTTGGCCCGACTGGCAATGTTGCGCACCCTGCTCTGGCTTCTGGATGACAGCTTTCGGATGAGCGCCCTGGGGAGGTGGTTCGCCTCCTGCTTGGAGCAGAGCACCTGGCAGCCGTCGTCCTGGTCCAAGGACACGAGCTTCCTCAGCTGCTCCGTGAGAGCATCCGCACGCTCCGATGGCTGCGTCTTCACAGGCACCCCCTTCTGGTCCCTCGAGCCAGTTGTAAGGAAACTCTTACTAATACACTGGTACTTGCTTTCAAAGTGACACGCGATGTCCTCCGATGTTAAATCCCCCAGGCTTTTCGATTTACAAGGGCTGGGCAGTTTCCGAGCCGACAGAGGAAGCGGTGGGGGGGGCTTGGGCACGGGGGCATGCGGGTCTCGAGCACTGGGCGGCAGGGGCACGCAGGGCAGGCTCGTTTTTGCAGCTGGGTTTGAGAAGTGGTTCCGCACAAAGCCAGCACCCTGACAGGCAAGACAGGAAGTACTTCGACAGTTGACATGTGGAACACAGTTGAATACTCTTGGGGTGGAACTAGGGAGAGTCTCTTCGCAGTGGCCATTCTGCAAACCGCTCTGAAAACGTTGCACCTCCCTCAGGCTCTGATTCAGCTTTGAAGGAGAAGCGGGTTGGCTTGTGGTCCCTCTCCTGGCGTCGCAAGTGGTTATGGAGAGACTGTCTAGCCCTCCATCAATCTCCACCAGACTGCTCTCTGCAGAGATTAAACAGAGAGTGGGATCCGCAATGACGTCTTCCAGCGTCACTTCCATGGATGGGGCAGGGCTGCGGGTCGTCAGTCCTTTCCAGTCTTGTCCCTTGCTGGGACTTGTTAGCAACCAGCAGTGAGTACGAGGGGATGCAGGCAGATTGCTTTCTGTGGCCCCTCTCTTGGCCTTACTAGAAAGCTCCTCACCTGGTTTGGCTTGAGCGATGGGAGTGCAGGTGTTTTCACGAATGACTGTGTGTGGGACGTGCTCTGTAGTCCCAGGACTCGAGAATGCGATAGGCTCAGGAGATGAGCACAGGAAAGGTGACTTGGACTTTCCTTTGGAAAAGCCATGCTTTGAGGGCAGTTTTAGACCAATGGTGGGCAAGTCAGAATGGCCTGGCATCGCACTGGTACACTGGAGATCAGAGGCGACTATGACACTGGCCTGATCACTGGTCTCATCAAACTGGCCAATCAGGGCTGAGATGGAACTGCCTGGTTCATTCTCATTTGTCATAGAGGTATTGTCAATAAGTTGGGAAATCCCACTATCCTGCAGAATCGCAGTTGACTGTAAGTCAGGTATGTCTGCACAGAGTGTGGAGATATCTGATAAACAGAAGGAGGTGGCAGCTCGGCCCCTGCCCCTGTCATCCCCCCAAGTCTTCATCTCCAAATTGCTTTGGGGAAGGATGCTTCCTGAAGGTGTCGTTTTCCCTTTCAGGAAGCCCTCAACACTTGCATGTTCTTTGGTTTTCACGCCACCCAGATGTTGTGTTAGGTTAACTGCAGGGTCAAGATCCAAATGCTTCTTTGGGGAGAGGGGTTTGTTGGGACGATGGTTTTCCTGGCAATCACTTGTCACATTTAATGTGGCTCTCCCACACTTAGGACCGGGCACTCCCAATGGCTCTCCTGTAATGGACCGATTGGCAGAAGAAAGATTGGAGCCCCCTTGGCTGGTGTCTTTGTAGAGGAGTGCACTGGAGGAGGAGAGCTTTTGGTTGAAATTTTGAAAATGTTGGTCTTGTGTACCTGCCTTGCCTTTTCTCTGGCTGTCCACATCGGCTGCTGGAAAAGAAACAAACAAACAGTCTAGGTGATGTGGATCACTTTATGTAGAGCCTGTGCACACTCAGGTTTGTCTTCAGACAGACACATGAAAAAATGTAAGTCTGAAAACGGAGACAGAATATAATTATGAATTGCAGAGATTGACAACAAAATAGTTGTGAGATGGAAAAAAATGATAAAATAGAGTCACAGGAATTTCATTGAGCCTCCCTTTGGATATCTATTACATCAGCTTAGGATGTAATATTCATTGTAAAAAAAAATGTCAATGAGTTACCGTACTTTTCAGTGAGGATTACCTTAAGTTGTTTCCTATTCAGATTTGCACTATAAGAAGCATGGTGCTAAAAACAGAACAAGACAGCTCTGTTAAACCAAGTATTGCGACACTGGAAATTTAGACACTCGATGCTTTCAAAGTTAGGCACCTTTAACCCCACATCACAATGATTATCAATTAAGGAAGACAGTTTGGTGAGGATATTACTTAATTTCTCAAACAAATGCGAAGATTCAATAAAAGCATTAAAATACAAATCTCTGTTGACTTAAAAATGTAGAGATATTTCAACTACCAAATCAATTTAAAAGTTGGTCATCTGAAATGTAAACTCCCACCTAGTATATAATAAAAATTTGTAAATCAAGCTAATACCTGGTGAAAGAGATAACGATAAATGGTTGGTCACCAGTTCTATGATTGTAAATTTTAGAATCATGTTGTTTGTTTGTTTTTGAATGTATAAATAGCACATGAATTCCCTATCAAGTGCCAGTATGTTGTCAGGCATAATAACAACAAAAATAGACAGTTCACATTAATTTTGGTACCCCCATCATGGTTAGCATAGAGCCACGACAATATTGGGTGGTCAGTTATTCTTGATCAAATTATTCCCTAATACTTTCTTAATACTTTTAGTTTCATAATATGCACAAAAATCAACCTTTAACTTCTTATATATTTGCCTAAATAAAAATGTGTTTAATGTTTATCATTTTTAAAAAAGGAAAACACAAATAATTCAAAAGAAAAATTTTAATGTCTGCTAATCGGCTCATACTAAGTAAGTGGATGCAACAAGTATGGTCCTTTGCCTGGAGAGCCTCCATCCTGCCAGGCGCCACACACAGGCCTCCTTTCCTGCAAACATCCAGGGATGAGGCAAGAATGGGCATCGGCCAGCATCCCCTGAACTGCCTCTTGAAGAAACAAGGATTTTTCAAGTGAAGAAAGTGACTTGTTTTTGACACTTGGATTTTTTCTTCCTCTTCCACATATAGCTCCAATCATGGAAAAGAAATACCACTGTGTTCAGCCTCAGAATAATCAATACATATGGTTCTCACTTGAAAAACCAGGATTTCTGTTGCCATTTTGCAGGTATCCCCTTTCCTCCCTCATAGAACCATGTGTTCCCTGTCATGAGAGCTGACGGCCTCCCTTCTCCCTCGCTGTGATTTCAGAAAGCACTGAGGTTGTGAATCCTTAGGTGACCGGGAAACATCTCTTCAACTGTCCCTTCCCATCCCAAAGTTAACAAACGTTGAGTCCTAAAGATAATATTGGACATGATTTCTTCAGTGTATCTGACTTAGGCTACAAAATGTCAACCATATCATCAATCATCAGGAACTTAAATGCAGTCTAGAAAAGTTTGTTCTTAGGAAAATTTAAAGCACCTTACCTAGAGAGTTTTCTTTTCCAGCCGTGTCTGCTGTTTCAGATACGGGCAGCGAAAATGCTCCTAGAAGACTCTTGTCAACTGGCATAGAATTAGGGCGGGCTTGCAAACTCCGTGTGGTCCTCCTCAGAACACCGTCTTGATCTCTTGTAGCCTCGGACACAGAATCCTTTATCTCTACCATTTCTTGGAAGCCCATTTTGCTCTTTTTCCTGCCTTTGGCTGGGGCACTGGCTGTGCGTCGCAGAATTCTATCTCCAATGGATCGTTTCCGGACGTAATGGGAATTGGTTTCTGAACTGTGCCTGGGATTCTTATTGAACAGTCCCTTCAGACCTTGGAGTTGCCTGTTCTGAAGACACACACACAAAGCAAGCCCAAGTTAAACAAATGGCACCGTGATAGCAGCTCGCGTTCTAAGCGATGTCATGAAAAATGAATGCAAAACAAAACTGCAGCCATCACAGTATATCCAAACGAGAAAACAGCAGCTCACAGCATGTTGGTACAATGTCATGCACAGGGTATTCACTTTACGTCGTGAAGAGAACAGCCATCTATTATCACAACCAAGCATTTTCTCAAATGTCCTACCCAGACACGAGAAGGTGGTAGGAAAGTGTCCAGAGTCTACAAAACTCAGCCACCGTAAAGCAACAGAAGAAGCATGTTTCCAAGTGGCAAGCAGAAATATGGAGCGGTATGAGAAAGCATGCCACCATAGCATTGTTTGTTTTTAATACGCCAGCAAGAACCAAACACCATGCTGAGAAACTACCTTTGTAGCTCCTAGAAAGTGCAAAATAGTATAACTGGGGTTGAGTATTAAAGGGCTCCACTGTGAAAGACACAAAAACAAAACCACAGTCAACACAATCGGAGCTCATTCAAGAAGGGCACATAAAAAAAAACTGCATGAACTTCACAACCCTTCCTCCCAGGTTTGGTGAGTCTTAGTTTGACATTCATTCACAACACCAGCATGTTGTGGAATATACACCCTGACCCAAGCGCACCTTGAGAATAATAAACAGTATGACTCATCATTGGATTTTTATCTCAGAGAGAGAACAGAAGTCTAATCGAACATTTTCTTTGGTTTAGTTTAATTTATTGCTAGTCCTGGTTTTAAACAAATTCTGTAATGTGTTCTCCTCAACTAGGATAAAGGCTAAAGTTATTAGATACTTAACCTAGGGTTCCTAGAAACTCATGGAATTGTTTACCTTCATGTGTATTTACCCCAGAGGTAAGATTCCCAACAAGGAGCACAAGCAGAAACCCAGGACATAACACAGACAATCACGATAAACTTCCCTCCTCTTAGAAATTAGAGTTCTTGAGCACTCCAGGCCCTATCGGTCCCACTCTTGCCAATTAGCTTGTAGCAATAGCAAATCTCCACTCACCAGCAATAGGTATGAATGGATTGTACTCAGTGGCATAGAACAACATAGGGCCCACAAGAGAGGGCCCCCCAAATGTATTCTGGTCCTCTCCTAATGCTGTCCGGCAACCTTCTTAAATTTTCACTCTCTTACTGGCAGCTTCCCATTATAATATATACATATATATATTTACTGAAATATAAGGTTGCTCCTATTTTTAACCCATATTTACAGGAGGAGGAGGCAGACCTTGTGTTGCCAATGGTTAAAGCACTAGGCCACTAAGAGAAAGGTTGGAATTTGGAGTCTCGAAGGAGACAA